GTAGTTACGTTTTGATCTTCTTAAAAGTTTATGGTTCATATATATAATAACTGGTTGAAATTACATTTGTACTGATTGTTCAATAAGTTGTCTATTATGTTGTGTTAGTTGGAGGCCTTAAGGGTTTTGGCCACTGAGCTTTACCTCTTGATAGCCTTTGGAGAAAAGACCGTAAGAAGGTTGGTGATAACATTTTGTGGACACGACCAGAATCAAGGAAGACTGGTTTGAGATAACAGAATGGAGAACTACAGAAATGAAGAGAGCTGTTGGGTATTTCTCCAGTTATCTCTGTGTATAACCCCCCACCCCCCAGTCTAGTGAGTTTAACCAATTTCAGTTTTAAGAGGATAATAGCTGAACTCTATTACCTGAAACTAAATGAGTTTTACTAAAATCTGTGTTTTCCTCCTCCTCCTCCTTAGGACATTTGCTACAAGATCCTATTGCACCCACCAACTCCACCTGCCAACACTATGTCTGCAAGACTTGTAAAGGCAAGAAAATGATGATGAAACCTTCATGTAGCTGGTGCAAAGACTATGAGCAGTTTGAGGAAAACAAGCAGTTAAGCATCCTAGTGAACTGCTACAAGAAACTATGTGAATATATAACCCAGACAACATTGGCACGGGATATAATAGAAGCAGTTGACTGTTCTTCTGATATTTTAGCTTTGCTTAATGACGGATCATTGTTTTGTGAGGAGACAGAGAAACCTTCAGATTCATCCTTCACTCTGTGTTTGACACATTCCCCTTTACCTTCAACCTCAGAACCCACAGCTGATCCTCAAGCTAGTTTATCTCCAATGTCTGAAAGCACCCTCAGCATTGCTATTGGCAGTTCTGTTATCAATGGTTTGCCTACTTACAATGGGCTTTCAATAGACAGATTTGGTATAAACATCCCTTCACCTGAACATCCAAATACGATTGATGTGTGTAATACTGTTGATATAAAAACTGAGGATCTGTCTGACAGCCTGCCACCTGTCTGTGACACGGTAGCCACTGACTTATGCTCCACAGGTATTGATATCTGTAGTTTCAGTGAAGATATAAAACCTGGTGACTCTCTCTTGCTGAGTGTTGAGGAAGTACTCCGAAGTTTAGAAACTGTTTCAAATACAGAGGTTTGCTGTCCTAATTTGCAGCCAAACTTGGAAGCCACTGTATCCAATGGACCTTTTTTGCAGCTTTCTTCCCAGTCTCTTAGCCATAATGTTTTTATGTCTACCAGCCCTGCACTTCATGGGTTATCATGTACAGCAGCAACTCCGAAGGTAGCAAAGTTGAATCGAAAAAGATCCAGATCTGAAAGCGACAGTGAGAAAGTTCAGCCACTTCCAATTTCTACCATTATCCGAGGCCCAACCCTGGGGGCATCTGCTCCTGTGACAGTGAAGCGGGAAAGCAAAATCTCTCTTCAACCTATAGCAACTGTTCCCAATGGAGGCACAACACCCAAGATCAGCAAATCTGTACTTTTATCTACTAAAAGCATGAAAAAGAGTCATGAACACGGATCCAAGAAATCCCACTCTAAATCCAAGCCAGGTATTCTTAAAAAAGACAAAGCAGTAAAGGAAAAGATTCCTAGTCATCATTTTATGCCAGGAAGTCCTACCAAGACTGTGTACAAAAAGCCCCAGGAAAAGAAAGGATGTAAATGTGGGCGTGCTACTCAAAATCCAAGTGTTCTTACATGCCGCGGCCAACGCTGCCCTTGCTACTCTAACCGGAAAGCCTGCTTAGATTGTATATGTCGTGGCTGCCAAAACTCCTATATGGCCAATGGGGAGAAGAAGCTGGAGGCATTTGCGGTGCCAGAAAAGGCCTTGGAGCAGACCAGGCTCACTTTGGGCATTAATGTGACTAGCATTGCTGTGCGTAATGCAAGTACCAGCACCAGTGTAATTAATGTCACAGGGTCCCCAGTAACGACATTTTTAGCTGCCAGTACACATGATGATAAAAGTTTGGATGAAGCTATAGATATGAGATTCGACTGTTAAATCAGTGGGTCTTGAAACCTACCTACCCCTGGTAGGAAATAGCTACAGTTCTACGGCAGCTATGGTTCTGTTGGTTTAACTTGCCGGAGCTCCTGCATATAGATCACTTGTATCAAGTGTTTCATTGCTAAGTTATATGTGTTAGTGTCGGGGAAATAGTTTGCAGATAATGGAGGAGTAACCCTACAACTATATGTTCTTAGTTCTTACAGAACCTCATAGTTTGAGAACAAATGCTGATGCAACTGATTTATACAAAATGAACTTTGGCAAGGAAAATAACAATAACCTCATTGTTTATGGTCATGCTTTGTGCATAATCAAAGTTGATGATTAAATGTAAGGAAGTGGTATCTAGTCAGTCCATAAAGATTGTGCTAATTTTTTTTTTTTTTTTTTTTTTTTTTTTTTTTTTGTGGAAAAGTAGCCATTAGTTTATCAGGAGCCTTTGCTGCCTTCAGATGCCGCAGTGATATTTCTCCTGTTGAAAAGCTGATGTGTCCAGCTCAACCTTTGTGCTGACATAATACCATTTCTGATCATGAAAATTGGCTACTGGTGTGTATGTAGCAGTTTTTAAATCAGCAGTATTATGAAAGAAAATTCCCCCCTCATTAGAATGTTTTAAGAAATCTGTCTTTTAAAAAGTGAACAAATAAATTCTGTCAGACCACAAATGTTAAGCTGTTTATGCTTTAAATATTTATGAGTTCAGCCCCCTTTCTAGTTATCTGACTCACTTCTATGAGAAAATCCTAAGTCCTTTCACTTTGAGCAATGTTCTAGTTGGTAAATAAAGTGAAGAGCTGTTTTATTCTGAACATAATTGAGTTTATTTAGTTCATAATTTTTAAAAATATAAAAAGAATTTAAAAATTGGGTTTTATTTAATTTTGAAATAATGCCCCAAATGTGCCCAGATTTATGCATTATACTTATTGCCATTGACGACTTCTTTGATTTTTATTTCCTGTTTATTTGCCACAGGCTTTACCTTGAATATGCTCCTTTTTTCTTTTTTTTAAAGGGTGCTGTTCATAATGAAGGCTTCTTTATCAAGGCCTTAAAACATGGCTTTGATGAAGCCTGTGCATTTAGGTAGGTGTAAAGCTCGGAGGATTTTCTTTAGAATGCTCTTTTGCATGTAAAGCACAAACTGTGTTTGAGTTTTAATGTACTTCTTCCTATTAACTTTATTGGGAAGACAAACATTCTGTTGACGGGAAGTCTATAGTCAGTTGCTTGAAAGAGCACAGCCCAGGTAAACAAGGACTGACTAGGTTTAGAGATAACCTTGTGATTCAAAGAGTTGCTGCTTTGGCAGTGCTTATTTTAAGAAAAATACTGCTAGGGAAGTTCCAGTTTCTACTGCATTCACCATCTCGTGAGATCTGGTGTGTTGAAGTTGTTTTGATTTGGCACACAGCATGTTCAATGATGGTTACTCGCCTCATAAAGACATGGAGAAGCATCCTTTGGACACAGAGCAGATGACACCTCCTGTTTTGTAGTGTTCCTGGTGTCATTTTCTGTGAATGTGGTCAGGTAGTTGTTTGTTGTTGTCATTGGGCTTTTTAAAAAAAACAAACAAAAAAAACAAAAAAAATTTTTGATCTCTTTTGGTGGGGCGGGGGTGGGCTAAAGCCATAGGAAGAAAAATGTGATGTATGTGTCCAGTATGTACGATTTTGTTTTTGTTTTGCAAGAAGAGTTGAACTATTTTTGATAACAAGAGTAAATGGTGGAAAATGCTTCTTAGTTGTCTTGTCTTTATTTGCTTACCAAATTTTGGAATTTTATTTAAATTCTTTAAGTGGTAGCAGTGTCCTATGAAACATGTATTTACCTAAAGTTTGTAACAGTATGTGTTGGACCAGATGATGCCCTGCTATATAATCATGTAAATCTGTTTTTTATTCACTAATGATCGCTGCAAAAATGACTAGAAATGAGATTGTACACATGGATAATTAGGCTATATTTTGCAGATTTCCCACACTTTCCTAATATCTTAAAATTCATGGAGTACCTCATTGCTTCCCAAATTTGATAATCTTAGCTTTGTTTTTGATGCATGGGAGGTTGGCAATAGAGATAAAGTGGAAATCAGTATGTGAGGACCTTGATTGTTATATAATATTGCCAATGATGAATTCAGGTTGTTTTTAGCACAAGTTTCTCTTTTTTATGCTGGTATTCTCACTGCCACATTTTTGAAAACTTGTATCACACCTTAAGTCTATCAATAAATGATAGTTTTCTAATTCTATGTTGTAGAATACTGAGAAGTTTGGGATAGCATGTTCTGAATGGTCTGTATTAGGCTGGGAACGAGTACTTAAAGTGCCTTGGTTTTTATGTTTTTCTTTATGACATGCGTTTTTTAAAAGTAATGCTGACAAATGCTGACTTAATTTATTGAAGGAACCAGATTTATTTATCAAGATAATGAAATTAGTAAAGACAAAGCAAAACTGCATTTAAATTGATGTATCTTGAATAATCTGAGTCCTTGTCAGAAGAGAGCTTACAATTTTTCTCTTTGGTTAGATTCATTGGGTGTATATTTTCATCCTGAAGTACTAGGGTGTAAAGGGTCTGTGTAATTTGCTTTCTTTAAAAAAAATTCCACGATAACCTTACTGAAGAAATGTTAAGTGAGAATTTCCTTTTTCCATAGGTAACAATGCTTTTAGGACATAAGACTGTAGGATCTGGATCTAATATTCTTGATTTCATTTTAGATACCCAATAATATGCAGTGATACAGCCTTTTAATATATGGATGAGGCTAAAGTCCCCTTTGATCCTGGAGAGTTCCTTTATCCCAGAGGAAAGCACTTCTCAGTGAGATAGTACCCTTAAGACTTTTCTTTATAGCATTCCCAAGGCTTCAAAGTTATTCTTGCAAAAACTCAACTTTGCTTAGAGGTGTAAAAATGAATTGTATCTAAAACCAAAAATATGTAGTGAACACAATTCATACATTTGACAATTTTATTTTGTTTGAAAAGGGGAAAACAAGTCATGCACCATCTCTAGTCAAACACTTTCAAAGCTGAGCAAATGATATCTGAATTAGAATTTTGGTATTTTTTTTTTTAAAACATTTTGAACATTGTAGTGACAGATAAGACAGATACAGGGAACTATACAGAATTTTATTAGTTTGATTACCTTGGCAATTATGCTATGAAACCACCCTCCTTTCATTAAATAATGTTTAGATCAGTGGTTCTTGACCTGTGTGTGGGTCATGACCCTTTAGAGGGTCGCATATCAGATATTTATATTACCATTCACAACAGTAGAAAAATTAGTTATTAAGTAGAGATAATAATTTTATGGTTGGGGGGGTCACCACAACATGAGTAACTGTATTAAAGGGTCACAGTATTAGGAAGGTTGAGAACCAGTGATTTAGAGTATAATTCATCTTTTTCAAGGTCCCTGGGGTATTGTCACAACTTGACATTTCCAGTTTGGTAATAAGGTAATTCTTTAAAGTATAATTCATGTAACCAAAATTAAATAATCCATCTCAAATTGTGTGGTGTTGAGAGTTTCAGTAACGGCGAAAGAAGATAGCAAAATAAGTTAAAAAGAAGGCTGCAGGCAGAGTGCTTTCTTAGCATGTGGATGGTTCTAGGTTGGATTCCCAGCACCACAGATAAAGGACAAGTTGCATATAATTTCAGTGCAGCTAGTGAGGCCTGGCTAGCTCAGCCCTATGCTCATGGCTTTTAAGGGATATTATAAAGTTGAGTTTTATATTGTGCTTTTAGGTGCTATTTAGTCTCAAATAGTTTAGAACACAGTTAATAAAACCCTTAAAATTGCCTTAAAAATTATCCTTTTGTATTTTTATTTGAAATTAATTTAATTTAAAATTAAAAAGTTGTTTCCCCTTACTGCTAAAGATTGGATAGGATTGGTGATAACATCACATAATTATTTTCAAGACAGGGTTTCACTTTGTAGCCTAGGCTGACCTCAAACTTGAGCCGCTGATCCTCCTTGCCTCAGTGTCCTCTGAGTGCTAGCATTATAGTAAGCAACATTTCTCAGTGTATTTATGCTGTTGTATATGCTGCATTCTCTATCCCCCGTCTTAACTACCTAAATCCTGAGATTTTAGGCATGTGGCACCACACCTATATGTTTTTTGTAAAATTTTCCTCAAGTTAGGTTTAATATCTGGGTGAGCTATTAATTGTGATAGTTACCAGATTCTATAGTGGTTATGTGGGAGGTTAGTTGTAGTCATGAAGGTAAGCTAACCAGGGATCTGGAGGATCTTGTGGCAGGCAGGATTGCTGGGCTTGCTAACTTCTAGTATTAGTTCTTAATTTTTTTTCTCCATGTTTAGCCTACCATCATCTAAAGTTTCATTATTTCACTGCTTGGCCTTTATACCAGCATGATAATTAGAATGGAGAGAAAACAGAGGTTATTCTGATCCTTTAAAAGACTTTCAAAACAAAACAAACAAGGGATAGGGAAAAGTTGATGGCTTTGGCAGACATGGATAATAAGTTGCTGTGATTTTTTTTTAGAGATGTCCATCCTTTTTTAGTATTTTTTTTTTTTCCAGCATGAAGGGTAACAATGAGCACTGTAGGATTTGGCTGCATGGTGGTCTGTTGAAAAATACAGGATTTTGAATTTACCACTATAGTAATTTCTACTGTGGGTGAGAATTGTTTTCTTCCAAGTTTGATAATGAGGTGGATGAAATATCTGGTGTAGTAGTTTCTAAACAGTAAGGAATACTGTTTAGTTTGAGCCTTTTTCTTTTGGCTTACTCTAGTATTCAAGAAGGGGAGGAAATCTGTATAGTGAGAAGTTTCCATGTGTTCCTTAAGTCTTCAAGTAGGCCTGCTAGAAATGAAGATAGACCATCAACTAATCTGTAGATCGCCCAATAGTTGGCTATAAATGTTACCATAAGTGCCAGATTCTGCCCTTACCTTCACTTTAAGGATTTTTCTTGAGATTTTGTACAAGACCCACAGTCAGATGCAGAGGCTGCCGAGATTGCCAGCAGAGTTGGAAGGGCCTATTGGTTACAATACCTGAGAATGTAAAGTGACTAGCAGTTTGGCAGGTCATGGTGAAATTACATTAAACCAGGTAAGTTCAAGGTCCCTGAACTCCAGTACACATAAGTAGTCTCTGAGATGTTTGGCAGTGCTTTTGTTACTAGAACAAAGTCAATTCTAGAGGCCCTTTTCCAAGTTTCAGAATCTTTGACTTAAGTTTTCTGCAAGTGAAGTTTTCTTCTAGGTTTTGTAGGAGCCTGGGGGACCCCAGGGAAGCTGGCCAACACTAAGGCAGCTTCTTTCTGTGCAGGGACCTGTGCTTGGCCTTGTTTCCAAGAGAGCTTCCATACACTGAGGGGTGTAGATTGCGGACTGCAGACTTTGGAAACTGATGACAGTATGTACTTCCAAGGAAGAGCTCTGCAGGAGGTTTGCGGCAAACTGGAGGGGTCTCCTGTGCTGAACTACTTAAGAGCATTTTAGTTTCTAGTGCACTTGGAGCAATCAAAGCCTTTACAAAGCAGTGTGCAAACTAGACCATCTCTCCACACCATCCTTCTGTGTAGATGTTGGCAGCTACTCTTCATCCACTGACTGAAGCTTTCCACCTCTCTCTGAAAGGCTTGAAGTTACTACTTTATTACCCTTGTTTCCAAATTCAGAGGGAGACACAGGTTCATCTGCTTCATAATCTTCAAAGGAGCTGGAAGTACAAAGCAAAATGAGTTGATTTTTTTTTTTCTTAAATATAAACATCTGGATATGGGTCAATATAGCAATGCAGAGGTTTGGAAGACAGCCTGAAAAATCACCCTCACTTAACTGGCAGCTTACCCACAATCGAGCTGCTCTGAAGAGGTCTAGAGAAGAAGCCCCTTCCTGCTCCAGAAAGCTCAAGTCTGTTAGGGTTTGTTGAAAAGCAGAGTTAGGAGTTTTACGAGTGTTTTCAATGGTATTTCTAAAGAGGGGAACTTATTGACTGCTTTTGTATTACAGCCTTCCTCCTTGTGCCCTACTGACACATTTAGATGTGCAAGTGTATCTGCTACAGACTTCAAGTCTCTTGTGGATTTTCCTCCTATTTATGCTAGGAAGAATTCTAATTGTCATTGTTCCTTAGAGCCTTGAAATGCTATGACTCCCAGATTCAATATTTAACTCTTGTGAATGATGGTTGCCTGCCCTGAGGTACTAAAGTAAGTATTCTGATACTAATTTGAGCCTAGAAAATGTCATTGAATTACTTTTTATGTCAACAGTACTTGACATCATTAGTGTAGCCTTGTTATTTGGACCTTACACATACTAGAGAAGTGCTTTATCCTGGAGCCACATATTCAGCCCCCTAACTTTGTTTTTTACATCTATTTATGTGTATGCGTGTGGCCTGCATGTATGCAATGTGTACCGTGTGTGATGCCCATGGAGATCAGAAGAGGGTATTGGATCCCCTGGAACTAGATTACAATGGTTATAAGCTGCCATGTGGGTGCTGGGAACTAAACTTGGGTTCTCTGCAAGGGCGACAAGTACACAACCAACGAACCACCTCTCCAACCCCTCCCCCCCCAGTCCAGAACATTGTGAATAGAGGTTAAACATTTAAAAAGGTCTACCTAATATTTGGAAAACTTCCCCGTGATTCTAGCTCATGATGCTCAAACTTGCTCACTGCAAAGATCCTCCATTATTAATTTGTTCCTAGTCCACCACTCATCCTTTAGGTGTCTGTGGCAATGGGATATTCTAGGTAAGGAGGCAGTATTACAGTGGCTTTGCTTTATGGGATATGGAGTGGTATCAAAGTTAATTTGAGCCATGATAAGTCAGGACTGCTTATTCCTGTCAAAATGGAAGGTGTTTTTCTTTCCTTGGTTCCTAACTTCCTTTGTGAATGCTGCTAGTGTCTAAAGTACCTCAGCACAGGTCTGAGAAAAAGGTGTATTTTCAGAGTTAAAATCAGAAGTGACACTAATTCAATAAGTATTTGAACTCAAATTGCTGAGCTTGAACCAGATGTTAGGATACAGTGTAACAGGAATGATGGAATGAATGGAACCAGCCTCCTCGAACTCTTCGGTGGCCTGATGGAGGCCACTTGGAATGGTGGCTAAAGGATTAAACCATGGATTATGGAGTCCAGATCTGAATCTGCAACTGATCAGTGTGTGACTTTGGACATGTTACCAAACACTACATTGATTTCCTTGATTCATGAGCTCCCAACTACTAGGTCGGGGTGATCAGAAACTACCAAATGTAGCTCTCATTTTCACAGAGAAGTACTAGGGCTTAGCAGAGTATGATTGTGACACATAACCCTATTGAGGGGCAAGATTGTGAATAAAACCAACCCCTCCCCCCAACACCATACAAGCCAGGTACAGGGTACATCCTGGTATACACTTGAGTTCCAGGCCAGCCAGGTAAGGCTGCAATAAAAAACAGACTAAAAAACCAAAAGGGGTGGTTCAATACTTTTTTTTTTTTTTTTTTGGCTAGTGCTGTAGAAACTCACCAGGCAACACCTGAGATACATTTGACTCCTAACTGGGAGGGTCCTGTCGGCATCTAGTTAACTACAGTCTAAGGATAGAACTAAAGCTGCACTGCCAGAGGTTTATACCTACACCTCATAGAACCACCCAGCCTAGAACTAGTGCAGGTGAAGCCAGTTCTGTCTCTTACTCCTTCAGCAGAACTGGCAGGCGGCAGGCTGTGGACTGAACTCTTGTTTGCACTGCTGGGCAACTTTGGTCTTTCCCGTGTTTACCCACCACTTCACCTGTGCTGCTCAGCTGCCACAGTCTGGCTGTCTACTGGATGACTCTTCTAGGATGATAGCAGCGTACTTACCCCTGAACTCATTTTCCTGCTGACTGGTTTCTCCCTGTTTTAGTGAGCTATGTGCCACTCACAGCCAGAATCCCAATTGTGTCCTTTCCTTCTTTGCTTTTGAATCCAACCAGTTGCTCAATACACTGAATATTTGAGTCAGGGCTTGCTGTGGGGAATCTAGGACATGGTGGGTATAACCACAGAATAAAACGTTCACTGATTCTTTACTTTGGAGCCTTTTATAATCCAGAGGAGAAGTGTGAATTACATTTTTACTTTCTTGAGACAGGGTCTCTCTCATGTAGCTTCAAACTCACTCTGGTTCCTGCTACTTCTGTCTTCTAAGTACTGGGACTGCAGGCAGGCACTACCACATCCAGTCTATGAACTAGGTCTGAGTCTAGAACTGAGCTTGGTGCATGAGAAGCAAGCACTCTTATCAACTGAGCCACATCCCCAGCCTTATCTCTCCCTTTTAAGACAGGTTCCCACTATGTAGACCAGGCTGGCCTTGAATTCAAAAGAGCTCTACTTGCATATGCCTCTAGAATGCTGGGATTAAAGATATGTGCCATCATGTCCAACTTTACTTGGATACATTTTCTTTTTAAAAAAATTTATCTTTATTTCCATTGATGCTTTTGCCTGAATGTATGTCTATGTGAGGGTGTCAGATCTTGGAGTTACAGTTGTTAGCTGTCATGTGGGTGCTGGGAATTGAACCCACATCCTCTGGAAGAGCAGTTAGTGCTCTTAACTACTGAGCCATCTCTCCAGCCCCCTACTTTGATATATTTTCATTGAGAATTTCATATATGCATACAATGTATATTGTTCATATTTAGCCCCACTCCTCCCACAACTCCTTTCATATCCACCCAGCTCTGTATCCTAATTTCATGCCATTCATATATATATATATTCCATGTAATTCAAATACACACACACACACACACACACACACACACACACACACACACACACACACACACACACGTTTGTGAGCCTAGCCTTGAATGGCTGAGTCATCTCTCCAGGTTTTTTTTTTTTTTTTTTTTTTTTTTTTAAGATTTATTATGTACACAGAAGAGGGTGCCAGATCTCATTACAGATGGTTGTGAGCCATTACGTGGGTGCTGGGAATTGAACTCAGGACCTCTGGAAGAGCAGTTGGTGCTGTTAACCTCTGAGCCATCTCTCCAGCCCCAAGATTTTTTTTTTAAATTATTAAATAAATCAATCTGTGTTGCCTTTATACTCATGGGTGTGGAGCCACCTGGTGGAGCATAGTCAACCAGGGGCCACACCCTTAAAGAAAACTGCCCCAGGTGCACGATGGTGGTGGCACAAGCTTTTAATCCCAGCACTCAGGAGGCAGAGGCAGGCAGATCTCTGCGAGTTCGAGGCCAGCCTGGTCTACAGAGAGAATTCCAGGATAGGTTCCAAAGCTACACAGAGAAACTGTCTCAAAAACAACAACAAACACCTCCCCCCCCCCCCCCCCCCCCCCCCCCCCCCGCAAAAAAAAAAAAAAACCCAAAACAACAACAAAATGACTGACTCTTCCTTAGAAGCCATCAATCATCAGTAGCTCCCCAGGGGCAGAGACTTGGGAGCTCTTCTCCATATTGAATTTGGATGGGCTTGACCTTGTATTTTCAATTAAAAACATCTTAAGCCCTTTATTGAAATTCAGTTAAATGAAATGTTTTAAACATCAGACATTTAGTTCATGGAACTTCCTTTATCTAGTTTCTTAAAAATTGTCCCAACTTTACCAAGTTTCCTGATGTAGGCCTATGAGATGGCTCAGCAGCTAGGGGTGCTTGCTGCCAAGCTGAGTTCCATCCCTATGACACAAGAGAGAAGGAGGGGACATATACACAGATACAATAAAAGTTCCTAATGTCTACCAACCTACTTTCCTGCCTCAGAAAGTTATCTGCCTAATTAAGAACACTTAATAAAGCCGGGCAGTGGTGGCACACACCTTTAATCCCAGGACTCAGGAGGCAGAGGTAGGTGGAGCTCTGTGAGTTCAAGGCCAGCCTGGTCTACAGAGCAAGTTCCAGGACAGCCAGGGCTACACAGAAATCCTGTCTTGAAAAACAAAATACCCCCTCTCAAAAAACAAAACAAAACAAAATAAAGAGTCCATTAAAAAAAAAAACAAATAGAAAACTGTTAAAATAGTAGATCATTTTATTTTTTTGTGTGTTTTGCCTGCATGTTACTATATGTGCCCACCCCCCCCCCACCCCCCCCTGCAGAGGCCAGAAGAGGGTGCAAAATTTCCTGGAACTGGAATTATAGATGGTTGTGAGCTGCTAAGTAGGTGCTGGCAGCCAAATACGGGTCCTCTGCAAGAGCAGCAAGTGCTGAGCCATCCTTCCAGCCCCTTAAAACAAAACTCCTTTTAAAAAAGATATGGTCTCCTTATATAGCCAGGCTGACCTCAAATGCATGGTTTTCCTGCCTCAAATGCCCAAGTCTTAGGATTACATGTGTGTGCAACTATATTTGGATGGATGGTTCTTATAAACTACGTAAATGGATAAGTTAGTGCTTTAGGGAACATTCTGAAGCATGAAAGCCATTTTTGAATGCTAGTAACATTGGTACTTAATATACTGAAACATATAATAGTTCTCTCTGGATTGCTTGACCAAAGATGTTTTTAAAATTAATTATGTGTGTGCACGATGGGTATGTATGCTGTGAAGTCATGTGGAGGCCAGAGGACAACTTTGTGATGTTGGTTCTCTCCACCTTTATGTATGTTTGGGGGATCAAACTCAGGTTTATAGATTTTAACAATTACTTTTACTCACTGATTCATCTTGCTGCCCCCCCCCCCCCCAATTT